CAAATCAAGCAGCGAGTTACATTTCTCAAGATGTCTTGGGCATTTACCAAATATATCTGTAGATGATGTTCATCGACTTGTCGATATTTTTCCCTTGCCCCTCAGAGCAAAAGAGAAAAGGGATTGAAAATTCTCAGTATTTGTATATAGCGTTCCCTCCCTTATCTCGCATGTTATGTTCTACAAATAACCAGCGAGAGGTGAAATCTGCGAAGTAGCCAGCTTTATTTTTTACAATACTTTTAGATGTTTTAAGGCTGTAAAACCCGTCACTACACACTTTATGCACTTTTCTCAGACAGGCATGAACAGTTTCACACTTTTCTCTCTTGTTTTGAAACCAAAGATCAAAACCTGTTTTCAGTCCCAAACATTTATTTGAGAAATAAACATACAGTATATTTGTTTATCTATAAATAATAATGACAGATTTTTGAACTAATGAATTTAACTTTAAGCTTAATTGTTTAATTTAAGCTAGTGATGTGTGGATCGATCCTGAAATATCGATTCCTCCGATACCAATCATTTATGTTCTAGAATCAATTCTCACATTAAAATATCGATATTTTAGTAATTTAGACTAAATTTGTAGTTTATCATTAACAGGAACACAGTGGAAAGAAACTATAACATTCGGATTGTCTACATTCAAAGGAACTACTTCCTCTTCCGCCTTTCATAGTCATGTGCGAAATACGGCTTTATAAATGTCTCGCAGCCCCTTGGCGTGCGCACTCACAACAATGGCTGAGCGTAATTGGAGTCATGTGCGGACTTATTTTACCTCCAGAAACAGCTGAGACGTGGTTTGCAATACATGTGGAAAAAAGGTGAGGTGTTGTGGCCATACTAGGGAGACATTCAAAAAGGCTGTTGGGGGCGGTGTTAAATACATTTTACAGTGTTGATTTATCAGATAAAATACGTTAAATGTCCGGAAATAGCGGTGGTGTCCAAATTCAGAGGCTGCTTCCACCTGAGGACGCGGCCTTCGCAGTCTAAAGAAAGCTGGATAGTACATCACGAGCTCCCTCAGTGGAGTGAAACTCTGCTGTCTGCTCCTTGCTATCTAAAATATAACCCGGGCGCTGACGTAAACTCTTCTGTTTAATCATTTTCTGTTTGACGTTTATTCAGCTGTGTGAAAACCCGGAGGAACCCTCCCGAGGGATTAATAAAGTTTAATTTAATTTAATCTAAGATAATAACTTAACAGCTAAACCAATTTACTCACAAACAAATAAAACACTGAAAAAGCCAAACAATAACCAGCTGTAACCGGAAGGTCGCCGGTTCGATCCCTGGGCTCTCTGTCCTGGTCGCTGTGTCCTTGGGCAAGACACTTCACCTACTGCCTACTGGTGTTGGCCAGAGGGGCCGATGGCGCGATATGGCAGCCTCGCTTCTGTCAGTCTGCCCCAGGGCAGCTGTGGCTACAACTGTAGCTGCCTCCAGCAGTGTGTGAATGTGAGAGTGAATGAATAGTGGCATTGTAAAGCGCTTTGGGTGCCTTGAAAAGCACTATATAAATCCAATCCATTATTATTAGTATGACCAGAAGTCCAACGTTTTGTGCATGGTGCTACCGCAGGTGCCTTTGACGGTGCAAAACGTTTCGTTGACATTGTTGTTTCTTGGGGAGAAAACTTACAAACAAACAGTGCAGCACTTCAGAGTCACACTGCTAGTGATTGATGTAGCGATTCTGTACTGTACAGGAGAGACGGCATGCAGGAGATCGACAATGATCTACAGCCAATCAGGACGCAGAACACAATGCGCTTAGAAAAAAAAAAGCATGCAAAATTGCACTAAAAGAATCCGCGAAACAGCGAGGCTGCAAAAGGTGAACCGCATTATAGCGAGGGACCACTGTAATTGAGAAGATAGGTCACAACATACCCTTCGTAAATACTAATATATAGAAACCGTTACCAGCAATCATTCATGTATTTTTTTTATATCCTGTGGCTTTTTTTCACGGTTTGTTAACATGCTGTGTAGGTGTGTACTGGTATCGACATAACAGAGAAACATCTGGTTTGACTATTCTTCACCTGTAGTTTGAATGCTGAACATTTGCCTGTTTAAATCATGAGACCAGTCACTATACAGAGATGTGCTTCTGCATGTGGACGATGTGTCTTCTGCTGCAGTGATGCAGTTCTGCTTGTGCTGAGTGATGTAAACAGCTGATCGATCTAAACGCTTTAAACGTCAAAGTTGATCATTAGACTTTTTTATGACACAGCAGTGGAGAGTGTTCCCACCTCCTGCTCTTTGTAACTTAACGTAATCTTTCTGTTTTCGTACTTTGGACATGATTTTTGAGTCGACCTTCGCAGTAGCGATTGACTGCAAAATAAAGCTACTGGAAATGTACAACCCTACATCCGGTCTTAAAACAGGAAGTTAGCATTTTCTTGTGCACAGGGTCTATTATGTTCGTGTTAATTAAGTGGTTGGAAGATGTAAAATTCTGCCAACTGAACATATACGAGATTTTAATGAGGATGAATAATTAGCCGGCATGGAGGAAACTGACCTTTTTTTCGTGGAGTGGCAGCAAGGAGCCAAAAGGTGGCCGGTCTACGAAGCCTCCATCATCAAGCTAGCAGGTGCCTTTTCTCAAATATTACTTTATTCTCGCTTATTTGGCACGGAAGCGTGGAGCTGCCACCCAGGCAAAAGAGAAATATAAGTATATCACGTTATAACGTGAAAAGTATATCGTGCTAACAATATACTATCATGTTTGTACAATATATTATCACCTTATTACAATAATCAATACAATACAATATATATTGTAATAATGTGATATTATATTATACAAACATGAAAAGCATAATGTTAGAACAATAAACTTTTCACGTTATAATGTGATATAGCTCTATTTTGCTTTTGCCTGGGTGGCAGCTCCACGCTTCCATAATTTGGTAATCAAAATATGTAACTTAATGAATTATATTGTGACGTAGCACAGCGGTGCAGCCTGATTTACACTGCTGCTCAATCACAGCTGATCATGTTTTTCATTAGCAATTTAGCAAAGTTGATGGTGGTGGTGTGTCTGTGTGAGTGAAAGACAGAGAGAGAGAGTGAGCGACAGATTTTGTTATAACCTTCATTTTTATGGATGCACAGTGTGAGCACTCAGGTTGCATCAGAGCATCGGGCCGTATAGTGTGAGACCTGCATCGTGACCCACCAACTTCTAACCTCTGCGAGTCAATCGTGCAGGTTGAGCAGGAGCTGAATCGTGCGACTGAAAAAGTCGCACAGTGTCTGCCCAGCTTGACTCCCATCATTCAAGCCCCTCACACACCGACTCTGTTCAGACCGAGTCTCTTCTTCGCATCTCTGAAACTTTTTTGTTCTCTGTGTGCCTTTGTTTTATTTTTAGTATTTGTTTCTCTTGTTTTGTCTACATTCCTCTTGATTGTGTGTATCTCTCCTGTTTTCTCTTTAGTCCTGTGGTCCACTATTTCCTGGCACAGTCGGTGTGGAGAACCCACAACTTTGCTGCACATGTACAATGACAATAAAGGCTATTCTGGAACTATCAACACTGGGAAATCATGTTTTGTTGAAGGAAGGAGACATCATGTGTGTGTGAGTGTGTGTGTGTGTGTTCAAGTGAAACTGCTGTTACAAATGAAATAAGTTGATAAATGCTTCATATATAATGTTACGGAGTTCAATGTGAGTCTAGATTGAATATCAGGGTGGTGTACGGCTGACATTCAGTAATGTTGGACATGTTTGGAAGAAGAAATTGCAGCAGTGCATCAGTGAGAGTACTTTACATTTGGGAAAATAAACATGAATGTTTAAACTTGAGGTATGAGTTGTTATCTAATTTTCATTTTTAATAGATTTTTACTAGTGCTGTCAGCGTTAATCTTGTTAAAATGATGTTAACGCCATAACCACATTGACGCGGCAAATCGGCATTAGCGAGTTAGCACGGATCGCCCTGTGCGTGGGGCTGCACGGCTAACTGCGCTACACGTTAATGAGCTAACCGCGTCCAGCCACACGCACGGGGCGATCTGTGCTAACTCACTAACGCAGATTTGCTGCGTTAATGCGGGTAGGCGTTAGCGTCATTCTAACGCTGGCAGCTCTAACTTTTACATTTTTGGTCACTCCATCCCTCTGTTTTTATGTAACCTTTATTTCACAACCTTATGTGGTCTGTGTATTTTGCCAGGTCTCTCTTGGAAATGAGATTTTTTTTTACCTGGATGAATAAAGGACTAATAAAAATTCTACACGTCCTCTCAAAATGAGCATGTACCGAGATGAGCTCTGAACACTCAGACACTGAAAATAAACTTGTCATCCTGCGAAACGGTGGTTCCCCACGTCTGTGGAATTCACTGAGCGACCCATTTCTTTCACAAGTATCTGTAGAAGCAGATTAGGTGTTTGATTTGATACACTTGTTGCCATGGGAGTGATTGGAGCACATGAAATCAATGATTTAGGAGGGTGAATGAATACTTTTGGCAATATAATGTATCAACACAGAAACACAGCCTACATCTTTATTTTTAAAATGTATTTTAAAACATTAATAACAAAAAGCAACTGAATTGAAAGACTCAAGCAGTGTGTTACATGGTTAACTGTCAGTAGCTAAAAATATTAATGAAAAAAGAATAAGGAGAGTTGGGGAAAAAATTGTTTTTAAAAAGTTTCTCAAAGATGTTTCCTGTTTTATTAGACCAGGCCTCTCTGTTGTTGTCACACTTCCCTATAAAATAACTATTTGCTGATGCTTTTGATACTTTTGTTTCCATAAAAGTGCAAATTGTAACTAATCTCAGAGAATCTGAAAGCAGAGCAGAGGCAGGTTGAACTGTACGGCAGCTGAAGTTCAGTATTGACTACAGCAGTTGGTGCAGTGATGTATAGGATGGATGCAAGCTGGTGAGGAGCCGTATGACCGAGCCGTCTGAGGTGAAAGGAGAAAGATCACTTTACTTTGACATGTTTTAATATATCTTTATTTATAGACCCAGTCCTTCCTTTGTCCTTGTTTTTGTCATAGTGTTATTTCCCCTGTGTCCTCTACATCAAAGCATTTAGTTTGCTGTTTCCTTTTCATGGATTCTGAGTGTCTGCACTTTGCTTTCAACCTAAATGAAGATTTTGCATTGTGTTATATCTGTCTACATGCATCTGCATGCTGGGCTTTTCTTCCTCAATGTTGCCATGCTAAATAAAGCTGTTGCCGGTGGTGTCCAGGTGATACTGCATGTTGTCCTTAAATCACAACCATGCTGAGCTATGTCGGGTTTTTAGCTCTTTTCTGTTACAGAAGTGCTATTTTATGTCTGTCAAACTGTGTTAACCTTGGCGTTTGTCTTAGATTCAACTAAAGGAAGAGGAACAAACGACTTGTTTTTGCAGCAGGCTGTTAGCAGTGCCTAAAGTTATCATTTAAAACTGGTTCTTTTCTGAGTTGTGTTATGTGTTGATACAACTCTGGTTCATTCCTTGACTTAGGTGCCTTTTTTGATTAACAGAGTTACAGATTAATGTTAAATGGATTAAAAAACGCTTTCCTGTGAAATAGCTCAGCTACAGGGACTGGACTGGAAAAGAGTGAACAAGCAGCCAGTGTTCAAAGATATACTGGGAAAATAAAACCTGGAAAACTATTGCTCAAGACCACTTTAAAAATGTGACTCAGTATCAGTACTCAACACTTCTGCACAGTACTGTACACAGATGCTTGTTTTATACCGTTAGTTTGGAGACATTCATTTATAACCACACAGTTAAAAAATACAGTGAGAGTTTTCTACTTTGATTTCTACGTTTTTTAATTGCTCTCAAAGTAAAATTAGCATATTATTTGTTTATCTTTGTTTCTCCTTTTTTACATTAAACTTCACATCTTCAGTGAAAATGTGCTGATACGTTCTGCTAGTGTTGCACTCGTGCAGCAGAGATAACTGTTTGGGAAACCAACACACTTGTTCTTTGTGCTTCTAGCTGCTTGTAGATGTAACACTTTCATTTATGGCTTGTGGTGATGTATTCAGTTCAGCATTATTTATATGGTGCTATGGTGCCACATCACTTTGACTTTAAATGATAATGACAACAGCAAACGCACGGTCGCCCCGAGACTTCAGCCGAGAACGAGGTTGCTCCAGAAGAAGTTGGGTAGCAGATCTAAGTGCTCTGACAGGAGTGTGTAACCTAAGAAGCTCATTGAGGTAGTTCGGCACCAAATTATTGATAATTTTGGACATGAAGAGCAGTATTTTAAAACGAATACGGTACTTAACTGGCAGCCAGTGCAAGCCAGCAAGAACAGGAGTGATGGAGGAAAATTTCCTGCTACCTGTCAAAAGGCGTGCCGCCGCATTCTGGACAGTCTGCAATCTAAGGAGAAGGGAGGAGGAAAGGCCAATGTAAAGAGAGCTGCAGTAGTCCAACCTGGGAGTCACGAATGCATGAATATGTTTCTCCAGATCTTTATGCGGCATATAGCGCTTAGCCTTTGAAATGAGGCGCAGCTGATGAAAACTAGACCACAGTACAGCAAACACTTGCTTGGCAAATTTAAACAAGCTATCCAGTAATATGCCCAAGTTACTGGCATAATCAGAAGGGGAGCTAGCAAATTTAACAGTCCAATCAGAGAACAGATGGGCTTGGCTGTCGGACGGGCGCTTTTCAGGTTGTGGAAGGCTAAAACAGTCTGAAGCTGGAGGACAGCGACAGCTACGTCCCTTAACTTTTGGTAGCAGTGTACCATTGGTATACCACATGGATTAGGTTGTGGTATACCAAAGGTCAAAAATATGATTATTACTTTAGTATTGCTTTGTGTACACAAAGTCAGGGGTGACCCAGGACCAGTGCTGTGAGTCACACCACAGAGTGACTCACACTGAGCCGCAGAAGCGCTGTCACCATCATCCATCTTCAAACTGTATTACCCTCCCAGAACCTGAAGCTCAGTAAAGCACACCTCTGATAGTCAAACCCATCTGTTCTCTGATTGGATTGTTACATTTGTGACGGCCATGACATTGACCAATCAGCTGAAAGGAAGAAAATCGAGTCACAGTCTTGCACTTGCAAGTTGAAACTCGCACACGGAACATGAACGCAGAGTTTTACACCTATTGTTTTGCTTTGTATGAGCAAACAGACCGAAACAACAATGAAAAAGCAACTTGTGTAATTATTTTTACAAACACACACGTTCTCCTGTATGGATGCACAAACATAACATTTCCAGATATTTTCCTACAAGTACAAAATCTTTACATATGGACCTCAGGAACACGCTTCCTTAGGTTTTGCACCGAGGAGTTGATGGTGATGGAGTCTGCACCAGCACTGACAGTGTGTCTGACATGCACTTGATTTTTTTATGCTTAATCATATATTAATGTTTACAAGATTCAGTGAAATACCTCCTGAGAAAAAAGAAAATTACTATCTCTTGAGATTTTCCTTCAGCATCCTTGCTCCATCCCATCACTGTTGATCTGCACTACAGAGTCTTTGTTCACAGGCTCATTTGAAGGGGCTGTGCTTAAGTGCTGGGAGCTCACTGTGTACCTCCCACGGGAGTCTATCCTGAAAGCAGGGGCAAAGCAGTGGTTTAATTTGATTTCTTGGCGAAGGTAGGAGGTCCTCTTCTGGCATGAGTCACCAGTTCCCTCCTGCAAGGCCGACAGAAAAACCACCAACTCAAAGTTAGTGGAGGACCCCTCACACAGGGCAGGGTAGAGCGGGCTCTGAGGCTCCAGGGGGTGGTAAAAGGTGAGTGGGAATATGAACAAAGGACATGCCTTTTGGCCCAAATGGTCCAAATAGAAGTCCAGAGAGGTCTGGTGGAGAGCCTGACCTTCACACTTGTAAAGCACAGCACTCAACTTTACATCGACCAGAGGCCGCTTCAGCAGATTGGTGGCTCGGACCATGAGGCACGTCTGGCCCAGGTGTTGACCTACCACTGCCTGGGGGCTGAACTGGATGGCTCCTGCTTGTTTCTGGGGGCGGGAGAGCTTGGCTACAAATGCACCTGAATGTTAAGACAATGACATCATTCATGAACAAATATGTCATACTGTGACATCATCAGGAATAAATACGCATGCTTGTGCAATGATTTGATCTGCTGTTATTTAAGGCAAGGCAGCAAGTCTCAAAGCAAGTGAAAGAACAAAGTGACCAATTTTTATAACGTTTTTACTGAAATAAATAAAATCACAGTGACGTCACTTTTGGAATAAAGTCCTGATTCTTTTCATGCCTCTTTCAGATGTGCTCTATGTGAGCATACAGGGATTGATTTGACACTGCTACCATAGACTCAGATTAACGAGGAAAATTTCAAAATGCCCTTTTTTACGAGTAAATCATTGCAAGATTTCATGAAAAGGCCTAATCTTCTGAAATTGTAAATGTCATTTACTTTTTACAAAGTAGAAAAACTGTTACCTTCTCTTTTGTCTTACAATTTATACGTTAAAACTAGAATTAGAATACCTGATGAGCGCTTTACCTGTGATAAATACTTCCAGCATGAGCCCCAGCAGCATCTGTACAGCTAGCAACGCTATGGCACTGGGACAGTCTCCACTGGGGAACATGGTGCCATAACCGATGGTTAGCTGTGTCTCCAAAGAGAAAGAAAAGGCAGCAGAGAAGCTTGTAATGTACTTTACACAGACAACATGCCCCTGTGGTGGGGCATCGTGATCTTGCACATCAAGGTCTCCATTCAGATGAGCCAACAAATACCAGAGACAGGCAAAAAACAACCAGTGAGCCACGAAGGAGCTGCAGAAGGCCAGAAGAGTCCATCTCCAGCGAAGATTTACCAGCAGTCCCCACAGGTCCTGCAGGGCCAGCAGCCAAGCTCTGTGCAAAGACTCTCTCCGTGAGCCTGAAGAAGACAGAGGGACACGAAAAGCACAGCGTCCCTCTTTGGTGATCAGGCGCTGATAAGGTGGAGAGGACAGAAGTAGAGATGAGGACGCCTTGTCACCTGGAACACTACCCTTGGATTTGGAAGTCATAGTTGTGATCCTGGAATGACTTTACTGGAAAATGTCAGCAGTTGGTATCAGACAGACTTTTGTATGTCACCATACAGAGATCGATCTGAGACTAGACTAAAGCAAACCTTGGCATCCTTTAAATACATTTTAATTCTGCTGAGCGATGAAGATTTAAATGTAAAATATTATCCATCTAGCTCATACTAATAGTTAACCATACCGTGAGACAGACGGCATGGAAAAAAGGTGGGGGCCAGAGCACTGAGCTGTGGGTGAATTATTGTATGACGAGTTAACCTTTGAACAGGTCAATTTCTTGGGTTTCTCTCTGTTTGTCCTAAACTGTTTAGTGACAGAAAAATAAGATCTCAATAGATACGTCGTAATATCTTCTGAAGCGTTATTCTCGATTTTCCCTCTACGTAAATTTTATATAAAAAATTATTTTTATATTGGCCTCAATATTGGCTCAAAAGAGATGCTGATGAAGGCTAGCACTAAGCTGAAAAATCTAGATGTACCAGTGAGAGTCACCAAGTTAAAAATGTTCAAAGTATGCACTACACGGCTCATTAACACCAGAAGGTCTGAAAAACCAGAAAAAAATAACTGAAGTGGACAACCAAACAGTGGAACCTCTTTGTGAGGTAAAAAATAAGACACAATCATAAATAGAAGTACAGTGCCATGTCAGGGGCATGTGCAGGCAGAGAGACTGACCCAGAATGCAATAAAGAAGCAAACTGAAAATCTCAGCTAGCTCACAAAGGTGGAGTAGATAAAACAGTAACAACGCAAACTAACTGGGAAACATACAGCTGGAAGCTCACGCGCCATACGGAAGACTATCAAAGTAAAACAGGAAGTAATACACTCACAGAATTTGCCTTAGAATCCTTTGTTTTAAGGATTTCTTCAGGTAAAGTAATCCAGATTCAGTTTGTAATGTGGTTCAAAACAGCGCTGCCATGGTATAACTCAGTTACCTGAACTGTCCATCAAAGTGACCAAACAGTAACTATGGGTGCAGTTCAAATCGATTTTGGGTGCTGACAGCAGACGTCTCACAGGTTTGGTCACGCTGACCAAAATTCACTGAACCAGCAGCAAAAGATCAAAACTACGCGTCACGTTTGACAAAGATGACTTCCCTCTGACTCGTGCTTTTACTTCCTGCACAGCTTTCTCTCTCTCAGTGTACTCAGAGACCAGTTTACCATCAAAATCTCTATTTTCTGCATTACTCGCTTGCTTATGGTGCTTTGGTGCTTATTACGCACCGGTCTACAGCTGTGTGCAGCAATGTCAGGTGCTTTTGTTTTTTCCAAAAATGACCTCCAACAAGAAAGCCTCATTTCTGTTCTTCAAACCGAAGACACTTAAATTGTTTTAAATTCTGCCAAGCTGCAAAACTCTCAGCTCTGTAACTTTGCTTCACTTCAGCAGGTCATGTTCACATGTTGATTCATGGTTTTCTTCCATTTTTGTTCTACTGCAGAATATTTTGAAGGTTATCTGCTGTAAATAGCCAGAACAGGAAAATCTGCTTCATGTTTTTCTGTTTTATCCTCCGTTACTTTGACGCAAAGGCCTCTGCTGTGATGATCACACCTCTGATCAAGTCTCAGCTTCGTTTTTATACATAGATATAAAAATATGTACTGATAAATGATCAGAATTATAATATTTCTCACTGTCTGATTCAAAATTGAATTGAATGGAATCAAATTGAATTGAATCGGGACCTTGTGAATTGGAATCGAATCAGTAAATAAAGTTTTTTTTTATTTATTAAAGTGTATTTATTGTAACTGGGTTTCACGTTTTTCAGAAACTCTAATTATTGCTCCAGACCATATGGTCCCAGAAATTAGACAGCATATCAGCTTCTTAGACCCTTACGTAAAATCAATCCTTAGAAATCTCGGTGTCTTATTTGACAGCTCGATGTCGCTCGAGCATCAGTCTAAGCAGCTAGTCCGAAACTGTTTTTATCATTTACGGAATATTTCTAAACTCAGACTAATGGTATCAAAGCTTGAACTTGAGATGATTATTCATGCTTTTATTTCTTCTCGTTTAGACTATTGTAACGGCCTTTTTACTTGTTTTAACAAATCTGCCTTAAATCGTCTTCAGACTGTGCAGAATGCTGCAGCACGTCTCTTACAGTTTTTTCTGAATGCTTAAACCCTAACTGTGATTCCTGTAGCACAATCTCTAAAACTATTCAGACTTATAGCAAAACCACTCACTGAGTTTGCAAAACTAAAAGCACAAAAACTGCTTTGCACTCAGTTTGCAATTTTGTAACACACACTTTGCAAAACTGTAGGCACAATTCACTGCACAACACTCAATTACCAAATTTCCAACACACTCCTAGCAAAAGTATACACATGTATGGCTATCATTAACACTAATTTGCCAACTGTCTGGCACACTTTCACATGTGAAAACTTCTTTAGATAATTAGTTCACTTTGCAATCAGCCTAAGCACTATAATACAGGTAAGCTGTGTGTGCAGAGTACAATGGAGGGAGCAGGAAGAGTGAGAAGTAGAGGAGGCCGAGGAAGAGGACGTGGAGGTGAAGAAATAGGATGAAGAGGACGACAAGGACAAGGAGGAGCAAGAGGAAGACGAGGAGGGGGGAGAGGAAGATGAGGAGGGGGGATAGGAAGGGTAGGAAGAGTAAGAAATAGAATTGCTGATGACATCAGAGCTACAATAGTGGACCATGTCATCAACCGTGGAATGACCCTGAGGGAAGCTGGCCAACGGGTCCAGCCTAACTCGAGCCGCTACACTGTAGCAAGCATCATAAGGACGTCTTGAAATGAGAATCGGTTAGCACAGTCACTTCGCACTAAGATCTGTAGCACTGCCGTATGCCAATGAGAAACACACCAATACCATTGATGTAAAAATACTGAAATTGTGACTTTACAGAATTGCTAGATGACCAGATGCTGGGGGCAGAGGAAGCATGTTCACTGCAGACCAAGTAACCCATATAGTCATTATGGCGATTGCAAATAATCCTATACTTGGAAATAAACACTTGTGTTTGAATAAACAGCAGTACTTGAAGTTTGGATCCCTCTATGCTTATGGATCTATGACAGAAGTATGAGCTCACACTGACATAGCCTACCTTGTGCACAGAGAAAGCAAAAGCCAGATGTGTTTTGTATTCATACCATCAGTGTGCAGTTGGTGCATTGTGTGCTTAGTAGATGATGGCTTGTGTGTACTGTTTGATACGGAAACACCATTTTTACGAAGGTGTGAAGAGTTAATCTAGCTGTGTTTGCTTTTGCAAGAGAACTACAATGTTTTGATTATTGGGTGACAGGTTTTCTTATTTGTGTGAAGAGTTTTGCAAAGTTAGCCAATAGTTACAAAAAATGTGCTTAAGCAATCAGAAAAAACTGTAACAGGCACCAAGAGAAGATCACATATCACTCCAGTCTTGGCCTCCCTTCACTGGTTGCCTGTAAATTTTAGGTTTCAGTTTAAAATTTTAGTTCTAACCTTTAGGGCCCTGCATGGTCAGGCTCCTCAATATTTATCTGACCTGCTGAAATCACATACATCTTCTCGGGCTTTAAGGTCATTAGATCAGAGACTGTTGGTGGTACCACGCACTCGTTTTAAAACTCGTGGTGATCGGGCCTTTCAGACTGTGGCACCACGGTTGTGGGATTCTCTCCCACTGTCTCTTCGCTGCATGGACTCCATTGATTGTTTTAAGAAACAGCTGAAGACATTTTTATTTAGAAAAGCATTTGATTAATTTCTTCTTATGCTGTTTTTATAGTTTTATTGTTTTACATTGTTTTATTTACTGTTATATTGTTTTATATTCCCATTTTCTGTGTTGTAAAGCACTTTGTGATTTTTATCTGTGAAAAGCGCTATATAAATAAATTTTACTTACTTACTTACTTACTTACTTCTGTTGCTGTGATCATCCCCTGCTGCTCTTCCCTTCTAGCATACACCCGATTCAGGATACGTGTTTTCAAACAGTTTGAGGTGACAGGGGAGCAGAAAGATGATGATGTCCCGGGGCTGTCGAAGTTTAAAGGGCCACCCGAGCAGAGGGTGATGGGCAGTGTGTGCGCAGATATAGTGTTAGGCCACGAGAAGAGTAGCAGAAAAAGGTCAAATTTAAGGTGTCATGGGAGGTTAGCTGCAGGGTTGTGGGGTCGAGATTTGCTGCTAGCCAGTGGTGCTTGGGATTCAGCATGAAGCCAGGTTAGGCCCCCACAGGACCAGCTAAGTTTGGCTTATGCCTCATGCTTCCTGTGGCAGTGGATGGAGTGACGCACCTGGTTATATTTTTGCTCGGGAGGGTAGAAAAGGAACTCGAGACCATGATAAGGTTGGAGACTGTCGCTGATACCCCTGATAACTGCATGACTGGAAACGGTGCACGTAGCAGGGACTGCTAACATTTTTGTGAGGGGAGATGTCACAGTGTGGAACTGACATGTTTTAACCTGGGTTTTTATTATTTTGCATGTATTGCTGTGTGCGGGTTTGGTGTGTTCTCTTGAATGTTTTATCTTTACAGTTTTGCATGCTTTTATTGTGTTTATTTGATGTGGACGGGGAGACTCCCGCCCCCTCACCTACTGAGCACTAAGGCTGCACACCTAGCAGTCAGCCCACACAGGACTGCAACCAATCAGGGCTCCCTTTGTGGCTGCCAAAGGCCAATAAGAGGGCTGGCGGGTTGGATGAAAGAGAGGACTCAGAGCCATGGAGTGGTAACAGGTAGCTACCGTGGGAAGCAGCTGAGCTGAGCTGAGCAGAGCTGGGCGAAGTAAGTATGCCCGGAGGATGGCAGTAAGGACGCCAGTTTGACGCCAACCATACATTCGAGCACGTAGCAGCGGCGGGCAGAGTTTAGAGTTCTGCCCTCGCAGGGTAAGTCCCAATCGTTAAGATTCATAAGACACCCCGGGAAACTAAGAAGGTTGACTGCCACTGCTCTCCTGTGCTTTAGCTCGCTGACTGAGGCTCTTTTTTTTATTGTGCTGAGTTTTATGGTTTTTTTTATTATTCCCTTCCCTGATCAGGGTATTTTTATGCTGTAAATAAAGTGTATTTATTTTTTAACTATTTTAACTGGGTTTCAC